TATATATATATATATATATATTATGTATAACACTATGTATATATAATAAATTCTCAAAAAAAAAAGTTTATGAATCATTAAATATAATTTACTGTAGTTTTTTTGAACTTTAGTAGCATTTTTATGTCTAGTACTCCAAACGTGCAATTAAAGAGGTTAGGCTCGGACGAAAATACCTATTCAAATTATTATTATATGTGTATCAAAATGGCCACTTGAAACAATGGGATACATAGTCGGGAAATGAATGAGTATTTTTCAGCCCTGGTTAAGCTGTAATTCACTAATTACCGTTGTGACGCGATCTGTGACAAACGACAAGTTTTATGAATATTAACATATAAAGTATGAATATATATAATACCGACCATTTATTATTTACTTTTGATATGCATTTTTCTAACGAATAAGTAAACCAGAATATACACTTGTTCCATCTTCCTTAACACTACTTCTAGATCTCTCATTTTTGCTTTGACTTTGAAAAACTCTCCAAAATTTCAGATTCTCATCACTCGCAGCTGTAGCCACTACCTGCCCATCAGGACTAATGGCTGAATGCAAAACACGAGTATCATGAGCTTGAATGTCGATGATTTTTCGACATTTTGGATAAGACCAAATAGACATATGATGTTCTGGAAATCCGTGTGTAGACAAGAGTTCTTGATATTCTTTTGACCAAATTATTGAAGTAACTTGAGATCTCGTATCAATTGATTTAAGACGGGACGCTGAACTTGTATTCCAGAAATGGATCTGACGATCAAATGAACCTCCGCCTGTCGCAAGGAGATTGTTTTTCCACGGACACCATGCAACAGCCTTAACACAAACGTATTAATTAGCATTAAAGAAATATATTTATATATATTATTGGTCAGTTACCTTAACTGCTGCAAGATGGTTATTTTTTGTAATCTTTGGTATACTTGATCTCGCATCCCATATATTTACGCGATTATCATTACCTCCACTTGCTAATTGTTCACCGTCATAACTCCATTTCAGTCCACAAACTTCACTCGCATGATCAAGTAGTTCAGCGATTTTATGTTGTGCAACCCTAGTATCATGATGCCAAATACTACCATCTTTACAACCAGAAGAAACAAGATATTTGTTCCAAGTTAGAACACCAACACGAGCAGTATGCCCTGACATTGATCGAACCTTTTGTTCTCTCAAAATGTCCCATATTTGAGTGTCACCATCACTTGTTCCTACAGCCAAGTATTCACCATCGTGAGACCAAGACAAGCTAGAAACATAATCATTAGCTTCCGTTTGAGCAATAGTTCTCACATCTCCAGTATCAGCGTTCCAGACGTATACATTCTGATCAAGTCCAATGGCCAGCATGTTCTTAACGTTCCAATCTAATAGATTTAAATAATAATCATCTATCATGCCCGGTGCATCAAGGATGCGTTCAGGGACAGTAGCTATTCGTCTTTTTAATTGAATTGATGTAGTAAATTTCTTTGAACGTTGACTATATGTTTGACTATATGTTTGACTTAACTCATCTTTTCCATTCGGTGGTGCACTAAATTGCAAAATTCGTCTCTCAAATGCAATACCGCAAGCCTCCGCCAATTTCTCTTGATATTCTAGGTCTGCACTATCCATATATTGTTCTTTCCCTGATTCCCTGTGCGTAGTATTGAAATGACTTGATAGATCACCCATAATATTACGAGTTGGAATAAATCGATCGCACTATATATATTTACGAAATAACACAGTTTAAAAAATGAACTTTTTTTTTCATAATTCATTCAAAATGCATATCTACTCATGTACAAACCTGAGGTCTGACCTTTTTTACTTTAGAAGGAGTGTTACAAACGCTTATCCAGTCGCCTGTAATAACATCCAATCTTAAGGCTTCCTTTTTAGGAGAAGACCTTGGACTTTTTTTTTTACTCGACCTGAATCTTCTAAGTAAAGTACTGTTTTGAAGTGGTGAGATTGGTGAACTTGGTGAAGAGGCTACAGACTTGGATGACTTATTAGTGCGCGCAGTAGTAGGTGTCGTCAGACGTGACTGTGTTGGCGTGCTCAAACGTGTATGTGGCGTACGTTTTCGAATAGGAGTAGTAGACATGGGATGACATTAACTCCGAGGAAAAAAATTTCCTGTTATTTTTTCATCGTCTGCTCAATATTGTATACTTAAAGATTACAAAAAATAACCATCTTGCAGCAGTTAAGGTA